GAAACTGGGGAGCCCACATGATTTTCCCTTTTTCCCACCCCACTAAAATTCTGGACCAGGAACACTCAGTGAGTAGTGGAAAACCAAGCAGGAAATGTTCAGGAATTCTTTCGTGTAAAGATCCCCAGAAGTGTTTCGCAGTGGCCTGGGCAGCTCAGCACCAGCGTGGCTTCTCGGAGCGCTCCGGGCAGAGAGATAAATCATTAAACCCCACACGAGTGCAAGCTGAGGGGTCAGCTGGGATCCAAACTGCCCTTCTAAACAAGGGGGAATTTCAAAGGAATTCAGAGTCATTGGACACAAATGGATTGCTAGATGAAGGGGAAGAAAGAGCTTTAAAAGCTTTTCATTATTTTAGTTAGAAACCTCAGAGAATTTAAATGAATGTATCAATATCAGCTTTCGACTTGCTAGGAAGGGGTTTTCAGAAAACTTCACGAGTTTATTGCTGGACCAAGTTTATAACTGGATTTATAACACACCTGAAACAAATGTTTCTTTCACAGGCAGCATGGTATGAAGACAACCTTTCCCATAAAGGCAGACAAAATAAAAGTACAAACCAACGAAGACCCCCCCAACCCCAGGAAACTATAAATATTTTATCGGAAAAGATCTTATATATGAACTTGAAAAACAATCAATTCATTTTGTCACAGACAGGTAAGTAAATATTGCATCAAAGTAACAACTAAAGGTTCCTGGAGGAGGAGTGGAGAAGAAAAATTGCTGCTAGTTTTCCTGACAGGAAAGAAGAAAGCAAAGGCAGAAACAGAACACAAAAACTTATTACTAACCCAACTATTGTTTCCCCCCTCAGTAAAATAAAATTTTAAAAACTCAAACAAACAGATAAACAAAAAACCCATCCCAAATTAAAATCCTGTAACTGCCACAATTTCAGTGTAAGAAATAAAATTTTTATTACACAAGTGCTACTCAAATACTGCTGTTATTAATGAAGCAGCTACGTTGCCATGCCCTGGGGTTTTCTTGCTGAGCCTTGCTGCTGTTTTTGTGTAGAGCTGTTGGTGTGGAGTGTGTTCCATGGAGATAAAGGGTAACAAGCTCCCCTTCTCAAATTCTTCCTCTCTGATGCAGCACTTGTGAGCTCACATCCTGCCTCGGGATCAGCACTATCAGCAGAGAGTATTCAATGGATTTTATGGATTCGTGGGAAGTAGTGCTCTACAATAATTTTGTATTTGTGACCATCAGTCACCCCCATGACAGCACTGGTTTGTCTCCAGCACTCACTTATCAAGGAGAGGCCAAAAGCAATTTGAGGTCACGCTGGTCCCTAATATTGTGAAAATGGAGTATCCAAGAGCACACACTACTGTTGAAAATGCTTCTTTGTAGGGAAATGTAACTGGGACACAAAATTAATGTATCAAAATTGCAGAAGGTATCAAAAAGAAAGCCTGTAAGTACAGGATTTATTTTTGAAAGAAAGCAGAATTTTATTAACATTTTGAAAATAAAGCTTCTCTTTTTCCCCTTTAGTTTTCTCTACCCATCAAAAAACTCTCCAGTCTCTCATCAACTCCAAGACAAGCTCAGATTACAATCTAGTGCATCTAACAATCACTCCTCTGAGCTGGCACTGACAGTGTAAATAAAGACTACTTTATGTTAAATATGAAATCAGCATAAGCCCTGAACTATGTAATAAAAGATTAGGTGGATCATCAATATAGTTAACCTATGCTGACAGCAATTTTCTGTGCTTTATTCTTGGAAATACTCTCTGAAATCCCAGGAGGGCTGTATGGAATACAATTCCACTTAAAATCTTGGAAATCTGGAATAGGAAACCAACATCTTGGCACAATCTCACTATACTGCATGGTGGACCTAAGTGATGGAATTTCTACACGAAAACAAACAAAGGGGGAGAAAAAGGCCTCCCAAAAAAGCTTCCCCAGCTGCTCAGAGATCAGGAAACCCAACCTGTCTTTCAACTTCACAGAAACTGAACGTGCCATGAATAGCTTGACCAGGTCTGAATCACAGGTTGTACAGAACTTGTGACTAAAATAGCTCTATAAGCTTACCTTACAAAGAGCCTGCCTCACTCCCCACCTTTATCTGAGATCAAATTGTTTATCACATTCCTTCCTCGTACGTCAGCTCCTTGTGATGAAAGCCAGCCAGTGATTAATACATTTTATTAGGTTGGTTCCAGTGACTTGAAATGAATTTGCCCTGACTCCTCAGGCTCGCTCCCACACCCACTGCCTGGCACTCCAGCCATGCTAGGAATGCACAATAGAAAACAAATTATCTTAGGCGATACCTCATAAATCTATAGCAGTAAAATTAACTGCACAACAGCTCCAAGCAGAAATCAGCTTCAGGAGGTTCTTCCTCCCTTTCTCCAGGAGAAAAGAGCCAACCCAGCAGCTTTAAAGCCCCAGAGAAATCACTGTTCCCTTGTCTCTTGCACTCTTCTCTGTGCTCAGCTCATTAAACAGAGCTGTAGAAGACAGATATGGAAAGCAGTCCAAACTCTTTTCAATGTTATAATTACAAAGTGACAGAATAAGAGGTTTTATCCTGGTCTTGCTCTCAGAGCTGTAATCTTCCTTCTACTGCACCAGGATCACAGATTCTATCTGAATTTACAGGTTGAATTCTCTACGTGTCCTTCTGCAGTGTAAAACCAAAACATGCTGGATAAAGGATGAGAAGACTTGAATCAGCCTAGATACCGTCTGGCAGCAAACTATATTTAACTATTAACAATATCCTCTGTGCTAATTACAGCTTGTCTTGGCTCGAGTGAGAGCTGCAATTCCTTTGCCTTTGGCGTGATGGGAGGAAGATCAACTGTGCAAAAATCAGCACCGACTTAGAAGTGATTCAGCACTGGATGCATTTTATTTAATTACTGATTACCAACTGAGACTTGAGGACTAGACACCCGTGGCGTGCCTCAGGTGCAAGGCATTGTTTGAGCTACCATCACTGGCATCCACACATGATGAAACCTCACACGGCGTTCTCTTCCACCAAGTTCATAGATAATGGAGAGACCTGTAATTCAAAGGTCTGTTGACATAATGAGATTAATGTACATGCTTTCTTCTTGTCCATACACGTGAGAAGTAATTTATTTTCAGACAGTTTACAATCTTTTTCTAAACCTTGTACTTTTGTCAGGGTAGCTTAACTGGCCTTTAAATGAAATTTAAAGGTTAGCTCTGACATTACCAGATCCTGCAATCTTATTTGTGACCAAAATGAAAACAAGCTCCATGAACAGCTTTACGTTCAGGATGGACATAAAGCCACATCCTGAGAGGGAGACGTCACACTTTTGGCCTGACCAAGGTTTATTTATGTAACGTGCAAACATCAGCTAACACTGGTGCGGTTTGCGTGTTACATCCGTGGGATCCCAGGATCCCCGAATCACAGAATCACTGGGACTGGAAGCGATCTTTCTCTGGAGATCATCCAGTCCATCCCCACGCTCCATGTCTGAGGGCTCGGAGCCTCCAGGGCAGCCTGACCCGGGGGCTCCGGGGCTGTGAGGGGCACTGGGCCGCGGGATGCGGCTCCGCAGGGCTGCGGAGGAGCAGCAGCGCAGCACGAGGCTCCCGCGGCTGTGGGAGAATTAGGGCTGGCTACTCGGGGCTGTGGAGGATCCAGAGCTTGCCATGGAGGCTCCTGGGGCTGTGGGAGAATTAGGGCTGGCTCCTCAGGGCTGTGGAGGATCCAGAGCTCGCCATGGCTAGAGCTGACTCCTCAGGGCTATGGAAGACCCAGAGCTTGCCATGGAGGCTCCTGGGGCTGTGGGTTAGGGTTGGCTCCTCAGGGATGTGGAGCATCCAGAGCTTGCCATGGCCAGGGTTGGCTCCTCAGGGCTATGGAAGACCCAGAGCTCGCCATGGAGGCTCCTGGGGCTGTGGGTTAGGGTTGGCTCCTCAGGGATGTGGAAGACCCAGAGCTCGCCATGGCTAGAGCTGACTCCTCAGGGCTGTGGAAGACCCAGAGCTTGCCATGGAGGCTCCTGGGGCTGTGGGAGACCCCGAGTCTCGCCATGGAGGCTCCTGGGGCTGTGGAGGACCCAAAGCTCGCCATGGCCAGGGTTGGCTCCTCAGGGCTGTGGAGGATCCAGAGCTCGCCATGGAGGCTCCTGGGGTTGTGGGTTAGGGTCAGGTTGGCCCCTCAGGGATGCGGAAGACCCCGAGATCGCCATGGAGGCTCCCGGGGCTGTGGGAGGGTTAGGTTGGCTCCTCAGGGCTGTGGGGGAGCCGGAGCTCGACGTGGAGGCTCCCGAGGGCCGCGGGAGGATGCGGAGCCGCGGGATGGCGGCTGCCCGGGGCGGGAGGTGCCTGAGGAAGCAGCGGGAGCCGAGCCGCGCTCCGGCCCCGTGCGCGCACAGCCGCGGGCGCCGCGGGCACAGGAGCGGCGGCACGGCCCACACCCGCTGCGGGGACAGGAGCACAGAGCCCTGCACGGCCCTGCACCTGCTGCGGGGACAGGAGCACAGAGCCCCGCACGGGCCCGCACCCGCTGCGGGGAGAGAAGCAGAGGCACGGCCCGCACCCGCTGCGGGCCAGCAGCACAGCAGCGCAGCCCCTCACGGCCCGCACCCGCTGCGGGCCAGCAGCACAGCAGCGCGGCCCCTCACGGCCCCTCACGGCCCCTCACGGCCCCCGCCCCGCCGCCTCCATCTTGCGCGGCGGGGCAGGTGCGGCCCGCGGAGGCGGCGCAGGCGCGGCGCGGCCCCGCCCCGGTGCCCGGCAGGTGCCGGAGCCGCGCGGCCCCGCCCCGGCCCGGCCGCGCTGAGGGCGGAGGCGGCGGAGCGGCCGCGGGTGCCGGGCTTTGGCTGGGCCGCGCCGCCGCCCGTCCCGCGGCGCTCCGGCGGACGGAGGAGCCAGAGCAGCGACCGCGCGCGGCATGAGCCGGGCTCCGCGCGGCGCCGCGGGCAGCCGCGGCCTGGGCACCATGGAGGTGAAGAGCAAGGTGGGAGCTGCCGCCGCCCGAGGGCCGCGGGCGCGGGGGAAGGAGCGGGCCGGCCCCGCGCGGCCGCGGGGACGGGATGGGGACGGCTGCTGACTCACCTGCCCGAGGGGCCGCCGGGCACGGCCCCGCCGGGCCTGAGCGCTCCGCAGGCCGCGGGCCCGGCGCTCCCTCCCCCGGCCCCGCTGCCCAGCGCTGGGGTCGCTTGCTGGGTGCGCTGTCTGCGGGCGCAAAATGTAAATGGTTTTGAAGTGCTTTAAAAAAAAAACAGGTAAGTGGAGTTGACCCCTGAGTTTCTGGACAGAATGAAAGACGTACAGACAAATATGTGCTCTAGGGAAAGTGTGGGATCACTGGGCCAAAAGAGGTATTTAGAGACATTCTTGGGGAGTGGGCTACATGATCTCCAGAGGTCCCTTCCAACCCTGAAAGTCCTGTGATAATTCGAAACCCTCTCTTTGTCTGAATTGCGGTGAGTGCGTTTGTTAGTGACTGTTTCTGTAGTTACCTTTTTTCCCCTAATGATTATGTCTTTCTGCAGCTTGTTGTGCGGTACAGCATAGGCTCACAGTAGAGCTAGAGGTGAGCCCTGGCTGGCTTATCCGAAAGTGGAGTTTGCCTTCTCTTAGAGGCCCCGAGAGACTTTTACCCTGGCAATGTTTCAGGAGTGTGTACCTGTGTGTTCCCGCAGAGATCACCTCTGTCAGGTGCTCACAGCTTTGCCCAGCTCTGTAAATTCCCCCATGCATGTATCCACGTCTCTTCTATTTTTAATTTTTATTTGCTGGTTAGGCAAAGTTTTTCTGACAAAACTTAGATATTCTGAGAAAAATTAGTTTTTTTTTTTTTTGTTCTGCTTTATATTTGTAATAACTTCCAGTTGTAAAACTGCTGGATGTACAGTATGAGTTGGAGTGTCACCGTTAGTTTAATAAATGTTGCGCTGAAACACCTTTTTCATTGCCTAGGCAGATTGTAAGTGCATCCACGTGGGAATGTGTTTTCCATTGGTGGACACATGGATCTCTCTGGTTGTTTTTTGAAGTGTTCTGTCCCCTCCTTTCCTGCTAGTGAGGTCTTACAGCAGCAGTGCAGGTGAAGCAGTCAGGACTTGAGCTGTGTGGATGTCTAAGGGTAATGCATCGTAGTGCTGGAACTTCTGGAGAGTGTAAAGTTGGTCTCTCTACTTGAATGAGGATGATTTCTTTTAGAGTGTTCATTTTTCATGTGGTTTTAACCAGCAAGCACAGGAATATCTGGTAGCTGTTATTTCAAATACCAGCTAAGTTAGTACTATGATGGTGAAGTCTTCTATTTATGCTCTTATAAGGTTGAAAAGAGTCAGTATGATGTGCTTACAAACCCAAATCACTTGTTTCCTCAGCCCAGAACTCCAGGTTTACTATTTTCCCTGCTGTGTGTTTTCCTTGATTTAAAATACATCGAGGGAATCAGCCATGTGGTGTGTTCTGGTGTTTGTACAGAGAAGTGTAGCCCTAATGAACAGGGATTGTCCCTCAAGTGCATATTATGGAGCAGGATTCAAGACATTCCTAGAACTACTTGTTGCTAATGCATTATTTAACAGCACCTCAATTAATATCACAGAGGAGTCATCTTCCTTCTATGAAAATGAGCAATTCTGAAGAGAAAGAAATGCCTGTGTGGGAGGTGGAGGGACCATTCCTGTGGAGTGGCCTGGGCTTTGAAGGCTCTCCGTGATGTACAGCTCTTTATTTAGATATTCCAAATCAATAATTGTGCCTCAGCTGACAAGGCTGGGCCAGCACAGCCCAACTGTGGTTGCAGTAGCAGGAGCACAATCCTTTTGTTAGTTTAGTTTATTCACTTTGGGTAACTGCTCTGAGCTTGCCCTGGCGATTCCCCATAGTACTTGAATTCCAGTCAGCCTGTTTTCTTGTCATGGAAAATAAAACTTTATACCCCAGACTAGAGTTCCTACTGATGGTATGGGAACCCCAAAATAAGCTTCTAGTTCTCTATATATATATAAAATTCGTGTTTTCCCCCTTTCTCATGACTTGGAATAATATTTTTTCTGAGTAAAATCTTAATGACTGGTGAGCCAGAGAAGGTCAGTGCAGCTCATGTTCTGTCAATGATGGAGACATGCATAGGGCAGCTCTGTGCTGTGTTTCAGACCCATACATGAGTGTTGAGTGGGCATCCCGGGTGCCTTCCTGGTGTGCTGCCATGGCTCTCCTGCCTTCTCCCAGGGGAGCAGCACGGGCTTGTAAAGAGCTCAGGTGGCAAGGAGCCTTCTGTGCTTGAGTTACTCCTCCAGTGTCTCTAGGACCTCAAGTGCAGGCCTGTTTCATGGGATGGAGGGCAGCATCTGGTAGAAAATGCAGACGTTTCAGGGATTCAGATAATGGAATTGCACAGTTGGACTTGTCTTTTACCTGCTTTCTAGTAGTATTGAGCAAACTATGTTAGGAAATACGAGTGGGTTATGAGCCTTTTGGTATTTGCACCAAATACGTATAAAATAACATGGAAAAAATAAAAATCGCACGTTTGAAAATCTGACCCTTTGCTTGCTGTGGTAAGATTCAACATTTATTCCAGCCTGAGGGTGAGGTTGTTGACTTTTTAAAACTTTTGTTACTGAATTACGTTTAAAGTATGTAATCCTTGAAAGCCAAAGAATTTCGATGGCTGCCATGCATGGACAGTTCCTGCGGGGCTCGGATCTGAGACAGGACGAAGTCCTGCACTGATGTCACCATTAAGCTGCGCTGCCTCTGACGTGATGGGAGTTCCTCCCGTGGGCTGGGCTTTGTTTGTAAGCAGGTACGAATCATCCCTTCTTCCTCACTAGTTAATGTTAGGGTAATTGCGGGGTTTTTTACAGCAGGAATGTTCCCAGATAATTCCCTTATTTGAAGCTTTTGGAGGAAGGTGGGGTGTTGAAGGTGTAGCTTGTTTTGAGTGGTGTTAACGTGCTAACAACGATGTCCTTGTCTCCTGATTTTCGGTGCTGTTGTTTGTATGTGAGAACTCCGAGGCTTTCATTCTGCAGAAGATTGTAATCAGGTGTGAGGTAAAGTGCACCTCCACAGCTCTTGTGTGTAACATACACCAAAGTATGTGATACTGAGGCTCAGACGTACACTCAGAGCATTTTGTGTCCTGCTCTGCTTAAAACCAAACTTGCTAAAGAAATTATTTAAAGTCTTCATTTTCACTGTAGGTCAGCAATAGAATTCGCACAAAAAACACCAGCCAACTAAGGTTTTTTGAATTATTAGCTTATTATCCTTTTAATTTGTATACAATCTGTTCTGGTTTTTGTAACCTGGCTGCTGCTATCTCTGAATTCCTTTTGACATCTCTGGTATGTTGTGTATGTGCCTGATACGGAGGATTTGGAGTAATTTTTATCCAGTATTCTGTTTGCTTTGGGTCCTGCCCTTATTAGGCAGAACACCAACATTTTACTAGCTGTGTTGGTAAAAACCACTATGTGTCTAGTCTACATCAAGTGCTCATCCTTTTCTTGGCATGCAGTTTAGTCTGCCTGCCCCCACTGTATCATTCCCTTAATAAGCAACGTGTTTTAATAAGTGTTTGCTTTAGAGATGATTTAGGAGACTGAACTTGAGTGGATTTTTGTTGAATGATTATGTTGACTACAAGCAAATCCTACCCCTGAAAGTAGTGTCAGTGACTAATTCTTTTTTCCCATATTTTCTGAACCTTGCCAGATTTGGAAAATCCAGGTTCTATACCCTGGATAGAACCCTGATTCAAAAGACTGGCTTGCATGAGTAAGGCTCAAAGCTTGATTGCAACAATCTTCTGAATGCTCTTTCAAGGCAGTGGCTGGTTGCCCCTGGTATCTCTCTTTAGGTAGGAGCAGAGTGGACCTGAGATCAGCTCCCCAGGGCTGGGCTGCACACGGGTTGTGCTGAAAAGCAGCGAGGTTCTTTGTGGTCTTCACAGCCAAGGGGCATTTTCACCTCCTGCCCAAGCAGCTGGGCTGTGAAGGCTGCTCAGCCTTTCGTGGGTGACCCACAGTTGTGTAACAACCTCTACACTGTTCTCAAGGGCACTGGTAGTTCTCGGCACCAAATTCCAGGTAGTCACATACCACAGGATGTTAGTCACAGTCCTGCTCTGAGCACCCAGCAGTGCTGCCTCTCACTTCTGGCCCCTGCCCAGCATGGTTGCTTCCTGAGCCTGAGAGTCTGCAGCAATCCTGCACCGGATTGTCACCTTAGTGCTGATGGAGGGAGCAATGAAAGAGCCTTGGCATGCTCAGAGTTATACTAGTTATAATAAAACTAGTTCTAATTTGGGGAAAAAACCCAACAGTTTTCACTGACTGTTTTATACCATGTCAAAATTGTTTGTTGTAGTTTCTAGTGCACTTTTCATGCCATAACGTTTCTGGTTTAACATAAAATAATTGTTCCATATTAATGATGTAAGATATGTTTTGTTGTAGTTTGGGGCAGAATTTCGACGATTTTCTCTGGAGAGATCCAAACCTGGAAAGTTTGAGGAGTTCTATGGATTATTGCAGCACGTGCACAAGATCCCAAACGTTGATGTTCTGGTGGGATACACAGACATTCACGGGGACCTGCTGCCCATCAATAATGATGACAATTATCACAAAGCAGTTTCTACAGCCAATCCTCTCCTCAGGATTTTCATTCAGAGAAAAGGTAAGAGCACTTGAAGAACGTGAATCACCTATTTAGCCAGTTATGGTGTGAAGTATGGAGGAAAAAACTCTTCAGTCCTATTTCTTCATGTCAAATTCTGTAATGATTATGGGTCATGAAAGGTATTCACAACTTGTCTCTCTTGCAAGGGCTTCCTCAGGCAATCTATTAATACTTTGTGATGTTTTGCTTATATTTAGTTGAGTTAAAGTCAAGCTTAATCTCTAGCAAATGCTTCTTTCTGGTTTTATGTATGCAAATGAAAATAAACTTTTAACTTCTAAGCTTTTCTGCTCTGTATGTTGGATACTTTTCACTTAAAATTCCAATCTTGATCAGACAAGAAGAGAGACCATTACAGGAAGGATAGTAATATTAAAAATGTTATTACATGAAGTATTAAATGCAACATTAAAGTATAAATTCAAGACTAACTTTGTAATGTGCTACTCTCACCACACTTTCCTAATAAAACATTTTGAATTTTCAGTTGACAAGCTTATATCAGTTAGCGAACCTCAGGAGCAATGGCTGCTTGCTTTGTTGTTGGCTTGCCTTTAAAAGTAGTGTGTCTGCTCTGGTTGTGTGTTCCTACTGTCTGCTTTTGTTCATGAAGGGAAAAAAAATCCAATGAGATGTTTGTATTCATTCTTGTGGTGTTGTTCCTGGTTGTTGCTAAGACAGGCATCTTTTCCTTAGAAAATGCTTGGGCATCAGAAGCCTTCATCAACTCCCACTCCAAAAAATGAACAACTCCACAAGAGCCTGACACAAAGCCAATATTCATAACCAGTGCGGTGTGGCTGCTTGGCAGCTGCTGAGTGCTGGCAAAATGTTTGTTTTGTTTGTGTTGATAGTATAGACTGGTAAGGCCTGTGCTCTCAGTGCTGAAATGACAAAGGCATGAAGCATTTGCTTTAGCAGAACCTGGAGGGAGACAAGGCCTCTGATTCCATCTAATCCCCTACAGTAGCCATATGACAGGAAGGGATAAGCCCTTTGTCAGACTGGGATTATTGAGTTTGTATTTTAACACCATATGTTTTTAGATTGTTCCTACTGTGACAGGTCTAACGTTGCATGTTCCTAATGTTGCATTTGTAAAGCTTCTTTAATTTCCTACAATTCCTTACCTTGATTTGATCCAGGTGGATTACTTGTTACTACTGTGGTGCCAGGAGTTGTTACAATGCACAAAAGTAGATGATGAATCCGTTTTAGTTTATCAGAACAAGAATTGATGAGCAGGGAAGCCTGTGTAGGAAGTGCCAAGTGTCACTGCCTTCCCTTGGACACGAGAGCCTTGGAGTTCCAGGGAATAAAGATTCCAAGCTTGCACCACAGTCCCCCTGCACTGTGCTGGGGATTAGTTGTGATCACACTGATCATATCTGTGTGATCATCATCTGTGTTGATGAAATTGAGGCTTTGCCTTCACTGACATCTTTGCATATAGAGTAGGTGTTTGATAGAAAACACAGAAACAACTTTATTCTGTATTTTATTTGTGATGATTTGCCTGTAACCAAGGTTGGATTGGTGGAGTTAGGGATGGTTAATATTTTGTGCAGCGTGATTTAAATGTTCTTAATTCTCAGATTGCAGCAACCTTACTGGCTCTGCCTCTGGAATGGAAAAGAAACGTCTTAGCAAATAACTGCTATTGATGGGGCTGCTTTGATCTGGGCTGGTTTAGAGCTATAATAAGTGACACAAGTTATTTTTCCACCTGCAAGGTTACTTGTGGCTTTTATGCATTCTCTTAAATCAGCTGAAGAGTTTTTGTGGGTTTTTGTAACAGAATTTTGACTTCTTTTGTATTTCCAGGAGTAGTAGTTGGGAATGTAAGATCTTTGACAAAAAGCCACTGTGGGCAAGAAAGTGTTTTGATTCCTTGTAATGTATGAAATTTTTATCATACTGTCTTAAGTATTTAGAAACTACATGTAATTTGTGCAAAGCTTACTTGAGGTATGAGCAGACTGCAGTGAAATCTAATGTAAATAGTATTAACTTCTTAGTATATTGCATCCAAAGAACATCTTGAGAAGATGAAATGGGAGCTGCAAGATGGTTTTGCTTCTGTTAATAAGCAATGGTTGTGATAATGGGACTCCAGAATTTGGGAAATGTTATGCCAGAGTAAGAACTCTTTTCTCTCCTGTTTGATTTTGACTCTTCATTCTGAAAGCTCTGTTTGTCCTGAACATTTATGTGGCTTGGTTGATGTGGTAAAAAAACTAGAGCTCCTGGAATGAAATCACAAATTATTCCTCTTAGGTTCCTCTAATTGTACTTCACAAAATTCCTTTAAAATACTTCATAAACTGCTCCAGTGCTAAAATCTAAACTGGGGTTTGGTGTTGCAGAAGTCAGGATTGGCTGACAGCTTGCAGAAAACATTCCTCGCTGGAATTTCATTCTGCAGTTTAACAGATTAACAGGTACTGTTGACATCTGGTATATAAAGGTTAAACTGATGTATTGTGATTAAATCCAGATGTATGGGAGTCACTCTGTCTGTGAGAAAAACCCTTCCAAGAGAAAATGGAGAGGAACAGGCTGCAGGGCTGAAGGGCAGCTTGATGTGGGGAGCTTTGCATTGTAAATAGAGAACAACAGAGATAAGAGAAGATACATTTCATTATAATATCCTTAACAGTCCCTCAAAGGATTCAAAATTACAATATCCAACTCCTGCAATTTCTGCATGGATGTGGCTGTATTTAGTGAGAAGTGAATTCTTTGGTTAATCCACTTGTGCCTCTTGAGAGACACTTTGTCACTGAGAAGCTTTACTTTGCTGAGAAGTAAGAGCAGTTGGCTTTTTAAACAGCTCTTTGTGGACTAGCCTAGCTATTCGGAGGCCTCTTCCTAAAAACACAGGTTGGTTTCCTAAATCCATATTTAGTTTTATTTAGTGACTAAATAAGAGGAAATTTGTTGGGTCTTATTTAAAAAATGCTAAATTGCATCTCTATTCAAATGCACTAACTACTTGGGGGCTTTGAAAATTTAATTCTCAACGGGTAATTCTACATTGATTTGCAAATGGGTCAGGAAAATATTTCAAAAATCTGTCTTCAATAACATTAAATTGAAACCAGATTTGGCATTTGTGGGATTTTGTTTTCAATTTCATGTAATAAGTCTGTACAGATTGGTGCCACCTTGAGCTTGAAACTGCTGGGGGGAGAAATCCTTCCTGTACCGTGTGGAGTTCTCCTTCACACTACCTGTAGTTAACACCTTGTCCTTTGGCTTTAGGCCAAAATATTTTTTGCCAGGGCTTTAAACTGATTAGTGAGGTGCCAGAACAAAGATGCCTTTGTACTTGAGAGTATTGCTTTAGAAAACTTGTTTAGTAGTGGAAGAGAGGTTACCCAGAGTGTGCTGTTCTGCTGAGATTTGGGGAGATGAGTTTATCAACCTTCCACTACTTTTTTTTCACAAATTCTCTAACCTTAACTGTCTATCTTAACGTTTGTGCTAGTTCTGAATTATTTAACTATTAAGAGCAGTTATAATGAAAAAAACTTCCCCTCTGGTTTGTCAGAGTTTCTTAAATGTTTTGACATCTGGCTTGCAGTTTTGGGATGGTTTTATTTCAGCCATGTGTCCTGTAACTTAAGAAAGTTACTAAAAACAAAACCACCAGCTCAATTTAAGATTTCTGATTTGTCTTCTGAAAGAGACTTTTAAAGTTCTTTTCCAAGAAATGTTTTTCTGCTCTTAGTTTTTGTTTCAAAAGTCCTTTGGAATCTGTTATTTGCGTGCAGACATTCACATAATATTTCTTTCAAAGCCAGTCCTGTTGCAGCTGATCTTCGTGTTTCTCTGCTAACAGGAAAAATGTGATTTGGACAGAGCTTACCAGCTGATAGTTGTGGAAGGTAGGCTGGGAGGTGGTTTCTGTGAAGGAAGTTGGGAACAATTCTAAACCTAACTTAAGTAAAGAGCACAAACTGTCTTTGATCATTTACACGACATGATAGATCTGCTTGGATGTAATAAATATGTTTGTAGATCAGTTCGTGCCAGACTTCCTGCAGGGTGTGTGTCCTGCCATGAAGGTGAAGAAGTCTCGTAGCCACTGTGGCAAGCTGGGATCGCTAATGCTTTACATATTCAATATGACAGAATAGGTAAAATACCAGAGTCTGTCTCATTCGGGTATAATTTGTGCACTTGGAATTTAAGGAGAAAATCTCATCAATTGAAGACCTTTTAATCTTGCAATGCACATGGGAGAGCACTGGTGACAGAACCAGTCCTGACAAAGCTTTGCTGTCCTGGTTTCTCGTGTCTTTTTCCAAAGCAGCTGTTGTACTAAGAGCAGCAGGATCCAAGTGCTTGACTGGCACCAGTCTGAGACCTGTGTCCTGGAGCTGTCATCAGCAACTTGCACTTCAAGTGTTACCTTGTACTTAAAGCAGCAAGAGGTTTTTAAAGTAAGACCTGTCTAGGATCTGATTTCACAATTGTCCTTTCCAGGTTGTTTTGTAAACAATTGTAGTTCTGAATAAAAAAAGAGAAGTTATTGCACCTCATTGAATTGCAAAAATCCTTTCAATGAAGCACCAGATGTCTAACTGGAAACTGGTTGGATGGGTTGTCAGGGGAGATAAGGGCAGAACTTCTCTCACTTTTCCCTTTGGTCATAAATTTTTAGCAAACAAGAGTTGTTCCATGTTGTCTGAAAAGTCAGCATGTTAGTTGTCAGTAGTGGATGGAGTACAGGGGTTTAACCAGCTGATCTTAGTCAGTCAGACATTCCAAAGGGCCTTCTACAGAGAACAGGCTGAGTTTGCATTTCTGTAGGTGTTTTACTTCAGACATTATTCATCTGTTAAAATGCTTTGGCTGGGAAATTGAATTGTTTTTTTAATGCACTAGCTCTTCAACACAGCTGACCTAACACTCTTATATGTGAAGATCCGGTTTTAGGCTATTTCTAAAGCCTTTGTGCTTGATGTTAAGATATAACGTTCTGTTAATTAAACCTTAAATTACAAAATAACTGAGATTGCTACAGAAGTGACTTCAGGCTATAGTAGGGCTGTGTGAATCAGGTATCTTCAGAAATAACTCCTGCTTGTGTGAGTTAAATTGTTGACCAACTGTAGCTGTAAACATCAGTGCAAAAGATGATCTGTGTTTAGCAAACAGCTAAGCAAGAGCTTTGCCTTCCTTATGGTGTAATTATTTTTTTAAACAAAGGAAATAAAAAAGAAATGTAAATGAGGCCATCATCAGGACACATTTTTCTTAAACATGTTGATGAACCATTGTGTACACACAAGCCAGGCACTGACAATAAATCCCTTTGAGGTTTTTTTGTGGGCTAATTTAAATTTGTTTCTCTTCCTCTTGCTCTTTATCTTTTAGAGTACCAGGTCCAAGGCTGCCTTCCTAGAGCAGCCAAAGGACTGTTCTTATTTTCAGCAGCCCTAAAGGCTGGGAAGGGAAGGGAGGAGTTGATGTTACATGCTGCAGTAGTGCTAGCCTGTTGCCCTAGGAGTATTTTCTCTGTTCTGTTTTGCTTGAAGCATCTGCAGAGTCCAAATCTTAACTGGTTCATGTCTCTATATCTCAGCCTCAGAAACAAGTGCACTCATTGATTTCCTCAGCAGCTGGCAGCTGTCCTGAAATGCCACCAGGGCAGCATTGCCACAGTCAGCCCAGTCCACAGATTGAAATGTATAGCCATTCTTCCACTTTCTTGGCTGTACCAGTGACATCTGAATGGGATAATATAAAAAATCCCAACTTCTCTGTGTCCTGGGGTTAGTGCAGTCCAGTTCTGCATGATTATTGGGGGTTTTCTGCTGTAGACCAAAGATGTGTGCAATAAGGATGAGGAAGCTCAGATCTGAATGTATTTAGGTTGATTCTTTTTGGTGAATTATTGCATCTTAAAAAAGAAAATGGAACCTTTGGTAAATAAGCATTTCAGAAATCAGTATTGCTTGCACAGATCATGTTTTCTTGTCTCTTGCAAGTAGTTGTAGGAGTAATACTTGTTTGGATTTTTTTAAGCTCTAAGCCATTTGCCTATTCCAGTATCAAGTTGTGGCAGTGACAGCATTGCTTGCATGAACAGTTTTGCTTGAAGTATTTGTGTGCGAGGTCTCTTTGTTTCTGCTCCACAGCCATTTTACCTACATGGCGTGGGGGCAGGGAAGAGTGCAGAATGGAATAAGCTTTCTGGAGTTTGAATCCAGGTCACTTGGCTGGCTCCCAGTAACTAGGCAATAATAGGCACACTGGCTGCTTTCCCTTTTTCATTCTTTCTTTTCCAATGATCTGAAACCTGAGGAGAGAAAACTAGCAAGTGGAATTACTCTGAATAAAATTGTTTCTAGGAATGTACTCATTCTTTCCATTCTACCCTTTCTCAGGCAGCTGTAGCTCTTTGTGTCTGCTGCTGCTAACTGCTTTTAATTTCTTTTGCGCACACTCTTTCCTTCGGTAGTAGAAAACCAAAAGTGTTCTAAACTTCGTGTTTCATAACATTAAAGCTTTCATTTCATGAGTAGAGAGAAAGGTTTCTATGATAGCAGGGCTCCCATCTGAGCCGTTTGCCTGTGCTAACTCATGGGAGCAGTGCGACGTGGCTGTCGGCAGGCTCTAATCCCCGCGTGCTCTGTCTTACAGAAGATGCAGACTACAGTGCCTTCGGGACGGATACCATGACGAGGAAGAAGAACGTCTTATCCAACGTGCTGCGTCCGGATAACCACAAGAAGAAACCCCACATTGTCATTAGCATGCCCCAGGACTTCAGGCCCGTGTCCTCCATCATAGACGTGGATATCCTGCCCGAGACCCACCGCAGGGTGCGGCTCTACAAGTACGGCACCGACAAACCCCTGGGCTTCTACATCCGCGACGGCTCCAGCGTCAGGGTCACCCCGCACGGGCTGGAGAAGGTGCCGGGCATTTTCATCTCCAGGCTGGTCCCCGGGGGGCTGGCGCAGAGCACGGGCCTGCTGGCCGTCAACGATGAGGTGCTGGAGGTGAACGGGATAGAGGTGTCGGGAAAAAGCCTCGATCAAGTTACAGACATGATGATTGCCAACAGCCGCAACCTGATCATCACGGTCAGACCCGCCAACCAGAGGAACAACATCGTGAGGAACAGTCGGACTTCGGGCAGCTCCGGCCAGTCCACCGAGTCCAGCCTTCCCAGCAGCACTCCCAACATCCTGGGGAGTCTGCTGCAGGGAGAAGAGGAGAGCGATGAGGAGGACATTATTATTGAAGACAGTGGCGAGCCACAGCAGATCCCAAAAGCAGCGCCTGCCAGCGAAAGCATAGAATCCTTGTCACAAATTGAACTCCTCCACGAGTCCACACAAAATGGATTCCTTCCTTCCAGTGAGATGAACTTGACTCACTCAGCGGGCAGCATTAGCATGGAGTATGAAGTCCCAGAGCCAGGGCGTAAGTCCTTAGAAGAAGATGGAACTATAATAACTTTATGAAATGACTATGGTGTACTTTGTATAAGTAAGGATGCCATACATGTTTTAATTGGGCTTAATATATAACACATCTTATACCTCTCCATCTACCAAGCACTGCAGTTAGGTTAAAAGGAGGGAAAAAAGTAAATTCAAGCAATTCAAAATTACATAAGTTGACTAACTTCATTAATTCTGCACTTCAATGTAAATAATTCACAAAGCTGGACGATAATTGATAAATAGCTGAAATTGAATAAGGAAAATTTAAATTGAAAATGAAGGATAGCTAATAGATGACTGTGAGCTTTCTGTTAAAGGTACTTGATTTTTATTATTTTATAATGCTGTACACTACTGGTTCTGTAGAAGTAAACTTCCTTATGTCTGCTGCTCCGCTGGCAGGGCTGTGTGTGGGCTCGGAGCAAGAGGGAGCTGGGAGACAGCCAGAGGTGGGCTGGAGGAGACTGGTCTGGTCCTGGAGGACACAGGGACAGCAAGGCTCTGTGGGCACTGGGGCTTTGGAGGTCACTGTTCCTTTGTGAGTGAATGTGCAACCACAGGCAAGTTAGTCAGGCACCATTACTGGTTTTAATGGCCGGCAAGCTTACTTTTAATGGCTCTGATTTTGAAATTCAGATGTGAAACTCTTAACACTAATGCATCAAAGACCTGTTCTCATTCTAGTTTGCAATATTTAAGGACGTGATTGGATTTAGTTACTAATCCCAGTAAATGACAAACAAATCAAATGTAAACTTAATGCTATGGAAATAGCATAATGTAATCTCTGTTACAATTGCAGTCCTAGTAGAAACTGTAATGATTTCTACCAGCAAAGGTTTGTTGCAATGAGGCTGGATTATATAATAGTGACTTTCTACAAACCTGAACAAGTTAGAACAGTCTGTTAAATCCCTGGATTAAAAGAAGTTTTAAATCAGAATGAGGCTTTACTACACCTCGTTTGAGCCACGTGATATTAACTTATTCATTATGAGTAAATGCAGATTGCTGTGTGCCCCTGGCTGGGTGTTGTGGATATTACAGTGTTGCTGTGTGTGAAAACACTGATGACAAGTCCTGATGTTGCAAGAGCAAAGGTGTGTGTGCGTGTAACCACTGCACTCACTGGGACAGCTGCAGGGGAGGCTTCTAGCATTGTTTTTATCCTTCCCCTTTTTGTATCTCCTGCTTTACCCTCTTGGTTCTCAACCTGACCCTCTGGGAACAGAAGCTGTGGCAGGAAAACGAGCTGGGGTCTAATAGGGCTGGGGAGGAGGATCTCCCCAGGGATGCCGTGGCCTCTGTCAGCCTGTCAGGAGGAGGAGGAGGAGGCTGCTACCAGCTCTGTCCTGTGCTCCCAGAGCAGCAGCCAGGTGCTTGGGAGTGCTCCACCCTCTGGGAAGATGTGATGAGTGGGAAGGGAGACTGACCCCTTTCTTTTTTTCCCCTCAGTCTATTTGAGGAAAATCTACCTCTGGTAACTTTACAAACAGGAGACCAACTCAGCTTAATGGTAGGGCATCTGTAAAAGTCGTCGCAGAGCATCGGAGGTGAAACCTGTATTTGTTTCAGGTTTTTGTGATGATGCAAACACTGCTGCAGAAACAAATCCCTGCTGTTTGATGTTACAAAGTGAGCAGTAGTTTTCTCAAACCTCCAATGCCATTGGAGTCCAGGATGCCGAGAGAGGCATTCATCCTCCTTAGGATTTATGGAGAATAGGCACAGCAGGCAGTGGTACTCTGCAAATACAGGTGAGGGGCTCTTTTGTTACACTTATTTATGGTTTCTTAGTGTGTGTGTGTGGAAAGCCTTTTTACAAGAGCAAGATCTTTCAAGTGTTTCACTTGTTTTACTAATAATTATTAAAAATGAAGTAACTACATCCCCTTAGTGTGAAATGAGAAAGAGAAATGTTCATTCTGCAACATGGAGACTTTACCTGTACATGTTTTCTCTCAGTGCTGCTCTACGCTTCCTTTCTTTACGGAAGATTGTTTACTTCAAAAATATCTTAATTTTCCTTTGTCAAAAGACTTTCCTTCCTGTATGAAATCACCAGTGGAGGGTGAGACTCATTATTCTGCTAGTTTGCACTTCTGTGCCTTTGGTTTACTTGAATGTATTGTGGCTAATCAAAGGAATAAAGGCACTTGGATGGGAAGAGAAGAGGTGCAGAGGTACAGAGGATGAGCTGGTCGTGCACTTGGTGCAGGTGGAACGTTTCCATTCCGTGCAGATCCGCGCTGGGGCTGGGCTGGCCCGTGAGGATTTTGCAGCTCGCAGCACAGCTGGCAGGGCTGAGTCTGCCCAGCAGCCTGGGCAGGCCCCAGCCCTGAGGCTGTGTGCTGCCAGGCTCGTGCCTGGCTGGTTTGAATAATATTTATGCCAGTATTAAGGACTTGTAGAAATTTAACTGAGGTCCTACTCCAAACTGCATGAGACTTCCACTCTTAGGACCTTTCCTGCAAACCGAGTAATCTAAAGGTGAGATAATGTTCTTTTTGACATAGATCATTATGTTCTGTTTCACAGAAATTTGGTGACATGTAGTAAAGCTAAGCATTTGGGACTTGATAAAAACTTAATAGATCTAAAGAATGTGTATTTACAGGTACAATGACAGACTGCACAGCATGTAATTGCTTAACGCTGCAGTTACCATAAAGTTTCTGAAGTTCTTCCATATCTTACTAATACATACACTGTTAATTACAAAAGATTTTTAAATTGCTACTTAGGGATGATCAATGGTTGATTATGAGTGGCTAAATTTAATTTTATATATAAATGATACTAGGGTTCAGTATAAGGTTTTTTAAAATATGCTGATATTGTTAGCCTTTCATTCACTACCTCCTAAATTTTTAACATCTCTACTGTTTTCTCCCTGGAAGACAATACTTAAAGGCTTGACTGTTTTATATAGATTTTATCTATAGGTAAAAAAAGGAGAAGAAATGCAGAAGTGATAGTGAGGATGCTGTGCATGATTGACAATATTACGCTGCTATTGATGTAATCTGTGTATTAAGTATCCTGTGTGTGTAAATTGTGTTTTCAATCCAGGTTTTATAAATTAATTTATGAAATACCCAAATTATTTCAGAATGGAATGAAAAACTAAAATTCCTTTGACTAGTGTTATATGTTGTGTACATGCACAGAGGGGGACAAGTGATTCCTCCCTGGTGGCTGGGAGATCCAAGTGCACCTTAATAGAAAGAACAAATTCTTAATAGAATTAAGATGCATTTACTTTAAAGTTCTGCTGTGGTACTGGAGAAGTCAAGCCTAACTGTGAATCATATGTGTTTTTCCACACCTGAATTAAATTTAGGACAATGTTCTCACAAGCTGTCTTTAACATGTGTATTTTTGTGAATATTATGTATTTTCTAATTAAATTTTACTTGCAATGTGATTTTTACATGAATGAACTTGTTTAAAATGTCAAATATCAGTATTTTTCTTACAACTTTAATGTATAATGTACATTGGTATCTCACCGAATGAAGATTGATTTTACAAAAATCAAGCTAGATGTAGTTGTATATTAGTCTTATATTTTTACAGACCAAAATAATAAATGGATATAGAAATAAAATG